GATATAAGCATAAGATGCTAGAATAAGGAGAAAGCAGGTCATTGCTATAAAGCCCACATCAATGATGACAATCAATTCGTTAAATTTTATGTCAACACAAGCCAGCTTCAGGATGGATGGAATGTCACAAAAGACATAGTCAATATAGTTGTTCTCTCCGTAAGGTAAATGAAAGGTGAGAGATGTTTGAAAAGCAGAGTTGAGGCTGCCTCCAATTATGGTACTGAAGGATAGGATGAGGCAGGCTCTCCAGGTCATGATGTTGCCATAATGGAGTGGTTTACAAATGGCCAAGAAGCGGTCATAAGCCATTAAGGTGTAAAGAAAAGATTCTGCACATCCAACAGAGTTCAGAAAGAATACCTGTGTTACGCACCCTAAAAAGGAAATGACCTTTCCATGGAAGTCGAATCCTGCAATAACTTTGGGAACCACCACAGCTGAAAAAGCCATATCCAGGATGGAGAGATAACACAGGAACCAGTACATGGGCTTGTGCAATTGAAGGTCAGAGATCACCACCAGGATGATCAGACAATTTCCAGAAAGGGTAAGTGTAAACATGATTAAGAAGAAGAGAAGGAAGGGGAGCTTGAACCCTTGTGGATATGGAAACCCAGACAGGATAAATTCATTTGGGGCTGTTTCATTTGGACACTCCATATATCCGTTATTCTGATATGTACCCCAGGTCCTTGAGCAATGAGCTATTCTAAAGGGCACTTTGCTTGGAGTTAGCTCCTATTGGGTAGAAGTCACTGACAGCTTCTGTGCATTTTGCAGGACTTGAATTTAGGTACTAAGAAAGAGATTTCATGCATTGCTGTGCACTCTTCCTTCAGACATAGGAATCAATATCACATCATCCTCATTCTCTCATATGTCAAGAGGGCAGCTGCATAAAATAAATAAAAAAGAATATTTATTAGGTAAATTAATTAATATATAATCAATACAATGGAGAAAGTGCTACCACTTTTTCATTTATTTCATACCTATCATCTATCTATCAAAATTGTGAGCAGTCAGTTAATTCCTCTAACAACAGAAAACTACTGGGTAAGTATTTTGAGGTGGAATTAAGTGAGACCTCAGTAGCATTCCTGAAGATACACAAGTCGAAGAAGTGTCTCCACCCAAATGACTAAGTGGGAAACCACAGAGATCCTGACATCGATATCATTTGCCTTAGCATAATGTTGCCTTTTTCAACAAGATAGAGTCTGCGGGAGATACCAATAAACAATATTCAATCATACCAATCAAAAATCATAACAATAAATCATCAATCATAACACAACACTAAAAAGACAATTGCATTCAATGTGTTTTTTTGAGGGGGCATAATTTGCCTCTTGAGTTACCAATTCCAACACTGTGAACATGTTGGGGAAGAAGCCATTGAATTCCCCCTGATCTATGGTTGCTTGTGTAAAATGGATTGCAATTGGCAAACGGACAACATTGTTAGGTCTGCCATTAATTGCTAATGCTGTTGCAGGAAGAGTACACGAAAGCTACTGATGGATATTCACTTTATTTGCTTTCTGACTCTTAGCTTTATATCATGTCATTGGACAATTTATGGACAGCAGATGATCCTTCTCTTCACGGACATCGAAGTAATTTGTGTTGCACCAAAGATATCTTTAACCAAATTGAATATGCTGGAAGAGATTTCTTTCCAATATGATGGCTGAGATAATTAGCTGCAAGCGGATTTAAAAAAAAGGGTTATTATTCCAAAAACGTAGTCAACTATTATGAAATAGAAGCTTGTTGTAAACTTATATCTTGTAGGTTTTTAGGATACTCCAAGACGTCCTTAATTTCTTCTTAGTTATGGTTAAGTCTTCTTTCCTTTTCACATCTAGAAGTCCTTTCGGTTCATTTCAAGAATATTAGGGACCCCTGAAAGATCAGCACTCTCAATATGAAATGAAGGAGTAGGCAGAGTCATGAATCCTGGTTCATTCAGGTAGGAGGGCTAATATACTTTCCCGTCCGCATCTTTTAAAAATATTGCATCTTCCATGAATGCTCTGTCTTCATACCCCAGAGATCTTGAGAGGAGCACGGTTGAGTCTCCCATCAAATTCCACTGAGTTCTATTTTAAAATATTGATGATCCAGGAGAAAGCCAATTACCATTCCCACAAATTCCACTGGGGAACAATTACTTTCAAACAATAGGTAGGTAAGTTTGAAGAGTTTGGACGCATAAAAATCAAAGAGTTCAATTAGCCATGAGTTAAGATCCCCTTGTTTCCAATGGGAACAAATTTGGAACAATTCTTTTACCCCAGACCTGACTACCAAAGCCATTCTTCTGTCTTATCATTAGGATTATGTATTTATTTCCCTGAAATGTGTAGGATGAATTTCTGCTTTCCCCTTGATCAAACATAACATTGTCCTTACCTTAAGCTTCATGATCTTTCTCACCTCTTTCCTGATTTATTTCTACACTTCTCTGGCAGAGACTTTTACTTGTCCTGGAACATTACCTTTAACATCTATTAAAGTATCAGATTTTTTTAACAACACGATCGTTGGGATGTCAAAGGTCATATTGATAAAATCAACCTTATTATTTCATGTATATCAGACATGTATGTGAGGTTTTAGGAAAAAGCTGAGGGATTCAGTTAAATGTTGGGGGTGCAATACTAAAAATGTACCTCTAGGGCATATGAAGTGGTCTTATACTATAGTGCTTCCTTTTTTGCAAGAAAACATTTCTCATTTGATTCTATGTTTTTATGTTAATTTTCATTTGAAAGGCACACTATCTTCCCTAAATGGTTATGTTTCCACTATTATGGTAACTAAGAAGAGTGCAAAGGAAATAGTTGTTGATTGCCTTTATTGTTGGAAAAGATGATATTACCACCTGGAGAGGCCCACAGTTTCCATCAGGTATACAAAGATCTCAACAACTTTTTTTTAGATTTTTTTTTAATCCCACTTTTATTATTTTTATAAATAACTCAAGGTGGTGAACATACCTAATACTTCTTCCTCCTCCTATTTTTCCCACAACAACAACCCTGTGAGGTGAATTGGGCTGAGAGAGTCACTGGCCCAAGGTCACCCAGCTGGCTTTCATGCCTAAGGTGGGACTAGAACTCACCATCTCCTGCTTTCTACCCTGGTGCTTTCACCACTAGACCAAACTGGCTCTAATTTCTCTTTATATCTGAAGAAGCATTCCCTTCCTAGGAATCTCAGCTAGAGGAATATTTAGAAAGTTGTTCTATTTATACCACTTGGTATGTATTATTTCTCATTTTTCCTGAGATCTCAATATCAAGAAACCTTGTATAATATCAGAAAATATATATTCAATTAACAGAACAATGTATGAGTGATGACTATCTATGCAAACTCTCCTGTTTGCATTTTTCTTGTCTGTCTTTTCCTTTTTGAAAATAACACATAAAAAAAAAATCCGTTCTCTTCCCACCTCCATCTCCCACCCAGAATGAAGACAACGAGCTGGAATTAAAGGGAATGAATGATTTTTATGGTAAAAAAAGAAAGGTACCTCCTGGCCACCAGGCACAAAGCTAGTGATCAGGTGAGGATCCATTGACCAATGAAGGATGTATCACAGAAGGTTGGTTGCTGGGATCCCTGCCTTCACAATGAGGTCAGGAGCCAATTTTATTGGAGAGGAAAATAAGCCTTTTTAATCCTCTATACTCTTGCTCTATCTTGCAGTTAATTCATGACAATGAAATTGAAAGATAATCTCACATTGCAGCTAGAAGGTAATCAGTAGGGCTGCATGGAGTGCTTGAAAACAAACTCAAGTGATAGTTGATGAGTTGAAGGAAGGAACAAAATGTCCACTTTGATGGACAAGAAGCATATGGTCATGAAATTGGCATGAAGAAAGGAAGAGTGGGAGTCATGCACACAAAGAATGGAAACTGAAGAGATCCTTTAAAGTTTTTGACCCACTCCTCATAGCATTCTTTTACCTTAAAATATAGGATCATTTTTTGTTTCCTTCCTGATCTCCTGATCTCTTTCTCCAGCAGAAAATTTGACTTCTTCCTGTTCCAAGTCTATCACAGTGTCTGATTTTTGAACAACTCTGTCCCTTGCATTGTCTTAGGTCATATGGATAAAACAAACCTTATTATTTTGTCCATGCTAGACATATATGAGTGCTCTTTAGAAGTAGCTGGGGGACTTCAGTTAATTGTTGGGTGTCTAGTACTAAAAACGTACCTCTAGTGCATCTAATGTAGCCTTTTACTATAATGCTTCTTTTGGGGCTATGAATGATTTTTCATTTGATTCTGTGATTCTATGTTAATTTTGATTTGGAAGAATTCCTGTTGTTTCTTGATGGTTATGTTTCCAGTAGAAACAAAAGGACAAAGGATATGGATATGGATATTGCATGCATTTATAATTGCTAAAAAAATGATAACATAAATAGTAAGGACTCCTGTTCTTCATGATTTATACAAAGAACTGAACAACTTACCACTTTTAAATATCTGAACAAGCATTCCCTTGCTAGGAGTCTGAAACAGAGGATTAATTAGAAATGTGCTATCTTTATACCAGTTGGCATGTATTGTTTCCTATTTTTTTCCTAGGACTTCATTGTCAAAAAATCTTGTATAATGTCAGAATATATAAGTACAATTAAGTGAATAGTTTATGAGTGATGAGAATTCATGCAAATTCTTCCATTAGTATTTTTCATCTTTTTCTTTTTGGAAATAGGTTTTTTTTTTTTACCCTTTTACTTCCTGCCCAAAATGAAGACAAATTGGAATTAATGGGAATGAATGATTTAGCTACAATTTTATGGTAAGGGATGAAAGGTACTTCCAGGCCTCCAGTCCCAAAACTAGTGATGAGGTCATGATCCCTTGACCAAGGAAGGATATATCGCAGAAAAGTGGTGGCTAGGGCCCCATCCTTTGCAATAAGGTGAGAAACCAATCATAGTGGAGAGCAAAGTGAATACTTTCAATCCCCCAGTAATGTTACTTCATCTTCTGGTTTATTCATGAAAATGTAATTACATGAAAAGGTAATCTCATGATTCACCTACAAAGACCAGAAGGGGAGAATGGCGTGCTTGAAGAACAATCAACTCAAGGAAGGAAAAAGATCTCAACTTTCCAACAGATGAAGCCTACGCTCATGCCATTTGCTAGAGTATCATAGCTGAGATAATGGTTTTATTGTGAATGCTTCTGCAGTATTCACAGTAAAAGAACACCCAAAATAGTTCCAAATCTAGCAATCTGATTTTTCTTGGGCTTTAATGAATATGATAACAAAAGAATGAAGATTATTCAAAGGAGAACACAACCCACAGTATAACTGATTGAAAGAATCATTAACTGAGGAAGAGACACATTCAAAGATGTTTAGGAGAGAAATTAAAACCATTTCTAAATGGTAAATTCATATGAACTCTGTAATAGCTTCCATTGAGGCTCAATAAAAATTAATAGCCAATTACTTCCTGTTTCCCCTCTACTTTGCTGTATTTGCCTCCTTTGAGATCTCTTTGGAATCAGGTCTTGTAGGAGATAGAAGAATTACATCCAGCTGTCAGGAAAGAGGCTGAGGGACCATGTCTCCTAAAGAGATGTTTTTGGAGAAGATGAGTTCCCCCTCTGTGTCCAAGAGAGCAGAACTTACTCAGGCTGCTGGATTAAGGACATTCTAAGCATCAGAAATCAAGATCTGGATGGGCCAGGATTCTCCAGGAGAGGAACTCATCAACTCTTGTGGCTCTGTGACATAAACCTCAGACTTTCTTCACTTCCTTCAAAGACCCTGCAGGATTCCCTTCAATCTGAGATTTCTCCAGGAGATTCTTTTGACTCTTTCTCTTGTAAACACATACATGTAGCAGGACTCTTGGACCAACTTGTGATTCCTCTTCTCTTTCCTCTTTAAAACAAGATATCATTCCCTGAATTAAGAAAGATAAGATTACACACATTAGCCTATGTCATCTGAAAGAAGTTATCTCTATTTTTTAAATAAGTCTTTTTGCTTTTTCTATAAATTAGACTAGCTCCATCAGTTTCTTTAACAGTGTTCCATAAAAATTACAGAAAGACCATAAAATAAGATAGATTTCCACATTGAAAAGGTGCAATAAACTTGACTATTGACCATGTTTATTTTTAAAAATATAAAAATGTTTTATGCATTTTTTTACGTTTAACATACTACCTACTGCCTACTCTAGATTCCTACTCCATAGTTTCACCAGAGCAGTTTTCATCTCCTTGTTCCTAAGTGTGTATATCACTGGATTCAACAAAGGGGTGATTGTAGTGTAGAACATGCTCACCACACCATCCATGGAGTCCTGAGAAGATGGCCTCATATAACGATAAAAAAGAGGCAGGTAATATATGACCACCACAGTAAGATGGGCACTGCAAGTTGAGAAGGCTCTGTGGCGTCCTTCACTGCTACTAATCTTCAAAATGGCTATGACGATGTAAGCATAAGATGCTAGGATAAGGAGAAAGCAAGTCATTGCTACAAGGCCGATGTCAATGAAGATCATTAACTCATTAAGTTCTGTATCAGCACAAGCCAGCTTCAATATGGCAGGAATATCGCAGAAGACATAGTCAATACTGTTTCTCTGTCCATAAGGCAAGCGAAAGGTGAAAGTTGTCTGAAATGTAGAGTTGAGGCAGCCACCAATTATGGTACCCAAGGAGAGGATGAGGCAGGCTTTCCAGCTCATGATGTTGCCATAGTGGAGTGGTTTACAAATGGCCAAGAAGCGGTCATAAGCCATCAAGGTGTAGAGAAGGCTTTCTGCACATCCCAGGAAGTTTAAAAAAAATATCTGAGTCACACACTCTGTGAAAGAAATGATCTTTCCTCTGGAATTGAATCCTGCAATAACTTTGGGAACCACCACAGAGGAGAAGGCCATATCCAGGAGGGAGAGATGACACAGGAACCAGTACATGGGCTTGTGCAGTTGAAGGTCAGAGATCACCACCAAGATGATCAGGGAGTTTCCAGCAAGTGTGAGTGCAAACATGACTGAGAAGAAGAGAAGCAAGGGGAGCTTTAGTTCTTCTGGGTATGGGAATCCAGAGAGGACAAAATCCTCTGGAGCTGTTTGATTTGGGCATTCCATATATATGCTTTTTTTATGCTCACTTCAGCTCTTTAAGGAATGAGATATTCTAAGAGGGAAGTTTCATTTGGAGTTAATTCTCAATGGAGAAAGGTCATTGGCAACTTACTCCCATTCTGCAGTGTTTGCCTTTATGTACTAAGAAGGAGGTTTAATGGAATTCAATCCAATCTTCTTCCAAACATAGAAATCTGTATCATATCATCATTAACATCAGCGTCAGCCAACGTGGCAGAGAGAGCTATCTCTCAGTTATTTCCTAGGCATTTAAAAAGTATAACAATTGTAAGTAAAAACTTTATTTGCATGTCAAAACAAAGCTGCTGGGTATCAGATAGAACTGGTGTCAGTTCTCAGTAGCATCCTTGAACATATTGTTAGTTCTTTCTTGTCAAAATTCTAGCCTTACAGATGCATTTATACCTTTAATTAGTTTCAGCATTTTTTTCAGTTCCTCATCAAAATAAATGGGAAAAACACTGCCTCTACAAAATCATTTGCAGAGTTAATGATGTTCTAGAAAGAAATAATGTTGAGGAAAAAGAAAGATCGCTTTTTCTAACAGCTAAAATCTAGCCAACAAATACATGGATCGTAAGAGTGTATTCCTATGGACCAACCCTGAAACTGTGGAGGTGGAATACTCATTGTGGCCTAGAATTTTGTGAAATTTGTTGGTGGGGGGAAAGAAGCTATCTTAATGTTAGAAGCATAAATTCTCCATATTGTTCTCAGTGTTTATTTTCTCATATTTAAAGAGGCTTGGGGAAATTCTGTTATCATTCTTTTGTAATTGTAGCATGAAGGATGTGGCAGGGGTTTCTCCCCCTGGTTGATCTGCCTTTGTGTCTAGTCTTTCCTCTCTGAGCTCCAAATCAACACAACATTTATTTATGATGAATTATAACCCCACCCCAATCTG